AGCATCCCCTACCCTACTGGTCCTGCCCCTGCCATGTAAGACTCCTGCTTCACTGCTCCTGCTTTGCCTTCTGTCAAGAGTAAAAGCTCCCTGAGGACTCCCAAGCAGCAGAAGTCGTCATGCTTCTTGTACGGCCTGCAGAACTGTGAGCCAATTAAACCTCTTGTTTTATAAATAATCCAGTCACAGGAATTTCTTTATAGCCACGTGCGAACAGATTAAACAATGGGATTGTGCCATAAAAAGAGAGGATATTGAAGCCTATACTGCATTTTCTGTTGTGCTGTTATGTCACTTCATATCCTCCCACACTGAGCTATGCGTGGAGGGCTGCTCTGATTGCTTTGTTGCTACTCTTGGCATGGTGAGTTACAGAAAACTCCCTGAAGTTTCTAGTTCCCCTATTATGCCAGGATTCTGAGTGGGTAGGGGGCATCCTAGGAGGAACAGGGTAAGGGCCATGAGTATGAAGCAGAGGGAGACTGAAGAATGGCCTCTTGCCTTTGGAACATCCTTTATGGGGAAGGAGGTCTCTTACAAGAATTATTTTAGAGAATAAAACTAATAAAGAGAAAGCTTAAGTAACAGGAAGGGAAGGTACCTGTATGAACTACATTTTGATTTTAAGAATGTTACGGAAGAATCATTGATTTGGTGTGGAATACTTGACATACGCATCATGCCAATGGTGGCCATGATGTTTCAATTCCTAGTGCTGAATTAACCCCAACACATTACAATCCTGGCAGCTTCTCAGCAGCATCCTATCAATTATAATAAGGCTATCCTGAATAATCTGCACACATGTGCTGAGCATACCAAGACAGTTTCCTACTCTTCATTGGCTGATCTCTCTCAATGGGTAAGATTGCTGTTGTCATGTATACTGAAAGGTGATACAGTCTGGACTGAAAAACATTTCAGTTCTCTAACAATTTTCCCATTAGCCCATTGTTTACTATATTACCTTTTTACAGTTTATGAGATTAAGTTTGTATTTTCTTACAACAGTATTAATTTATGATCCCCCTGGGCAGCATATACCATGACTTTCTGTCTGGGCCTCTACTGTAGATATGAAACCTGTTATACTGTCCATTTCTCAACATTGTCCAGAATAAAATGTTTCTCTTTCTCAGTTAATCATTCGAATGTGAGTTATTTCCTTCTTAAAATACCTGCGTTTTAAGACTAGCAGTAGCTTCGTGAAGTATGTTGGTCTCGTCAAACATTACACACAGCTATTCACCTTGAGCCTCCAAGTACAATTTATCATTTGTTTCATGAATCAAGGCTGTGGCCTAGTTTACCACAAAAGTAATGACATCAGGCTGCATCACCTATCACTTAAAAATGTTAGGTTATGCTGGGCACAAGGAATTTGTGAAGCAAATTCTTTAAAAAATATTTGACAGGTTTTTCTACTAGAATAACTGCTTATGGCTATCCATGTCTAACATTGGCATAGACCTGAGAAAAAATAGCTTTTACCAATTTTAGAGATAGGCTCCAAAGAAGATAGATTACTTAAGATTCTTTGAATAAAGTCTTCCCTCATACACAAATGTCAGAAACGCTAAAAAATGCCAAGATAAATATATATTTAAATTTATTAACAGATAGCTTCAATCACAACAAAATAGCATATTTATTAAAAAGGCACAATTTAAAAATAATAAATATACCTTTTTATACATTAGAGAATTAAAGCCTTTGCCAACTGTAAATATCATAATATTGCTAATATACACAGATTTAGGCTTATTCATATATTTTAACACATTTGAAAATGTATACACTATTTTCCTTTACAGATAAAACAACTTTATGAGAAATAAATTCACCTTAGTATATATATTTTATTCTAATGTTCTAAAATACTAACATAGTAATGAGTATTCAATTTTTCCAAAGTTGAATTTCTTGTTATGTCTATATAATCATAACATCAATAGAAATATCCTTCTAATTTGATCCCAGTGGCTTGAATGACCTATATTTTCTTTTTCTAATGGTTATTCGAAAAGAGGTGGATGGCTTTAAAATTAGGAAACTACTGAGCATAGAGTTTACCGTATGCATTCATTCACTCCTCCAGGACATGCAGTCCCTTTGCTCCCAGAACAGTAACTATAACCTCTGCATGGACTACTGCCAAGACTAATCCCTATAGACTTTTGCTTTATCAGGATTCCTGAACTTTAGGTGAAACTAAACTGAAGCATCAATTATTGTGGTTATTTCATGTTGTTTTTAGAAACATGCAATTACCACAAAATAAAAACATACGATAAAAGAAAAGCTGAAAGAACGAAAGGTTCCCTTTTGCACCGTGTCTAAAATGACCATCATTCTTTAGAGAATGTCCCTGGTTATCTGGAGTAAATGCATTTTTTTCAATTTGTGGGTGAATGCTTTACTCCCCTAGCAACTGCAATAAATGAACGCTGATTTATAAAGTAAGGTGACTGGAAAATGAAGGGTACAGAGTAGGAATGATTACGAATAGTTACTTAATTTCTTAAATGTTCCTGGCACTGACAAAAATGGGTGGTTTCTCTGATTCTGATCCAATGACACTGCTGAGGTCTGTTTTATTTTTTATGTACTATTCAAAGTAACAATAATGATAACAGCAATAACTCCTGATCCCCACTATAGGCCACGATCGCTAACCTCTTAGAGGTATTCATTGTTACCTCACTGTAATCTGAATCCACTTATTTTTTCACACAGAAAAGTTAAATTACAACTATCTGGAATAAGTCCACTTTGTAGCCCTAAAGCAGTGCCTTGGTTGGAACACTCTGGGGGATTCACACAGGAGCCTGACAATGTATAAACATAGACTGTGAAATTCAGTTCTAAAACAAAAACCATTACGGTCTAAACACATGTTTAGCCAATGACAAATCACTTTTCCTCAATTCACAATAGCAATAATTTTCTCATAAATACAGAAATAGTAAAACACCAGGGCATTTAGTCAAACCACACAGCATTATTTCATTTCTAACTACAGTTATTGTTATTGGAATTTGTTGGTACTTACCTTCATCTACCCCAAAACTATCTACTGAATACCTTGAATGTAAAACAACAAAACGAAAACATTTCTCCCAAAATTATTCTTCCATAGAAAGGGTCTTTACAAAGACTCTTTCTTCAGGTATCCTCTTCTATTCACTTTATTTTAATAGTTAAAATACTCTTTGGAGATGATACACTGGCCTGAAACAATCTTTATATAAACTAGTTTTGGGGGTTTTATATGGAGGTTACTTGATAAGACAGGTTAAATAAATTTTTTCAAAAGTGTTTCCATTAGCCAGGTGTGGTGGCAGGTATCTGTTATCTCAGCTACTGGGATAAGAAGCTACTGAGGCAGAAGAATTGCTTGAAACCAGTAGGCGGAGGTTACAGTGAGCCAAGATGGCGCCATTGCACTCCAGCCTGGGCGACAGAGCAGGACTCCATCTCGAGGAAAAAAAAAAAAACAAAGGGTTTCCACATATGGATGTTGTTGTACACAAGCCTTCAAAAAATACTCTTCATGCATTACAATTAGTCACTGGAGATTCAAAAATATATATATGCAAGTTACAGAAAGAATTTTTTTAAATGCTAGAGGCATAAATGAGTTCTTGGGGCTGGAGACATTTCCTGAGAGAATAACAATTGTGCATTCAAAAAGTGCTGTATGTAAACAATTAGACAGAAGTAAAAATAATTTTCTCTGGGAAACTCATAGGCAATTCTAAATGTGCTTTAGGGATGACAGAACCACTAACGTCAAAGGCACATGTGAAATGTTGACTGTTTTCATAAAATATAAGTAAAAAGAAAAATGTCTTAATTAACATGAGATTACAAACATTTGCAAAAATACTAGTGAATATTAAGAGCAATCATCTGAGTACTTCACCTACAAACATCAAAAATTATATCTTCTATTTGGCCCAAAAACCATTTTTGGATCTTCTCACTAGTCAGGATCATCTTATAGAGTAGTCATTTCTATTGTTTCATTTTTGAGCAGGGTGAGGAGAATTTTTTTTTTTTCAACTAAGTTTATATTTCCTAAAATGTCTGTAATATAATGTGCTGAAAATTAAAGTTCTCTTTTCCAGTGGTTGAACTTCCTCAAACTGAGTCTCAGAAATTTAAAGGCTGTACAAATATAGTGAAATTGTTCCTGTCTGGAAGGAAGAAAAACAGTAGCCCACATTTTAAAAATACGAGATATATATTTTTAAAAACCATGCAATCCTGAATCAATAGATAGAACCATGCTGTAGAATACTCTTTGTATTCATCAATTTACTTGGTAAATAGCATCTGTCATGTAGGCGGCTAAATTGTTAGTCAGCACAAGGGGGTAATTTGGCAATGAGTGGGGAGCCGCTGTCAGACACTGGCGTGTCTGGATTACTCTACGTGCGGCAGAGCATAATTCAGCACAAAGCATGTCTGCTTTGGCCTCTTTCTAAAAGTTCAAGTTACAGAAGCACCAACAGAAACTTCCTATAAGACAATGTCAACTGCAAAGTGGTCCCAGGGCCTAGACTCTGGTCATTGTTACAATGAGGTGCCAGCCGGATCTGACTTCAAGCTCAGATTTATGAACCATGCGAACGATTCAGACAGAGAGCAGCGAAAGGCAAGAAGTCGAATCGCTGTCATTTGAGGTTACACAGAAAAGCTTGACCAACAACTTAATTTAACAAATAAAGAAGTCGTGACTCATAATCCACAAATATTTTTGAAGCTCAATAGATCTGAATATTGCTGAATCAGCATAAAATCATTTGAAAGAAATGTGTAAAAAAGGTGCATTATGTGAAAGAAATTGCTCAAGTCTGTCTCTTTTTTGCTATGACTCTATTTGAAGGTGCATGAATGTTATATTCATACTTCTACTTATTAAGCATTTTGCTTTGCTAGGAGATTGCTTCAAAGCAGAAAATAAAGATAAATTAGAAAACGAAAGTGTCCTGTACCTGAGAAATCTGCTGCTAAGAGATCTGCTGCCTTTAAAACCTTCACTTGTAAAATGCCGACGTCTTTCATATCTTTCAGGGAGTTCCGTAAGCACTGAGGGTTGAAAAGGTGATAACAAGTGAAAACAGCTTTTTAACATACTATTTAATGTCATAAAGTCCCATAGGAAGTGCATCCTAGATTTATCTTCCTTTCCCTCATGAAATCTTAAAAAAAAATCCCCCAAAATGTATTATGTAAGTTAACAGGACAGTTAGGCGCTTATAGCAGCCAAATTAAAAGAAAAGCGGCTGAGAATTAATTAACTACACATTTAAAATAAACCAATTAGAAGCACATATAATCTACTTTTAACATTGCCCCCTGGTGATAGCATAGATACCCCACCGGGAAAATGTGTGGGTAGAATTATACTGATACTCTTTTTCCCCCCTTCTTTCTCATTAATGCAACTTTTAAATCACTCTGAAACACAACATTATTCTGACCTCGTTAGTACAAACTTTATGGATACCAGAGGACTAAACTTGGACCCATCACAGATACTTATTACCACTGGAAAGAGAGTTGGGGTGGAAACAGAGTACATTTTCTGGTCTATGTTTTAGCTAGCTCATTCAATTAGAGATTAAGGATCTAGTATCACCCTAGATTCATATTTACTTTAGCCTTGAGTTTGTACGAGCCAAAGTCTGAATCTACATCTACTGCTCATTCTTAAGCACATATAGCAATATTTGGATGTCTATATACATGGCATCCTTAAGAAATCATGCATGAAAGAGGCCAGCAGATAAACTCTCTTCTCATGCCTCCAGAACACACCTACTGAAAAAGACACTGCCTTAAAACCGTTGGATATGCTATTTGTCATCATTAGATAGCTAAAAACCTGTGATAAACAGATCCCAAGGATTTACGAAAGGCTATTAAAATACTTGTTATTTAGGCATTTCAGATAGAATAACACAAGCTTAATAACAGTTTGCCTAACTTAATATGCATCATTCCTAAAAACATTTGAAAGTTGTTTCTCCTCTCTATTTTCAACCTAAACAAACAAACAAAGCAATTAGTTTTTAAACTAAGAGAACACATTTGAAATGAAGTGCTTTTACAATTTAGAAGTGGAAATGCCTTTAAAGATGATCTGTTCTTACAACCTGAAAAACAAATCTGGGGGCTGTAACTTGTGCTTTGAAACAGCATTCGTTCCCTCTAACATGCTGGCCAGCTTGCTAGCTGAAGAAGCACTCAGTATTTCTATTTTGATCATAGCCTCTTCAAACCTCTTTTCGATTACTACTCCTCAAATCCTAAAGCATTATTCAAAGCAGGTATTACTTTATCCACTTTACACCTACATGTAGATGGTATCTAATGTTACTTTATAAATACACAAAACTCCTCATGAATTTGGTAAATTTGTCAACTTATCGATTGGAAAGCTTGGGGAAAAGTTGTATCCTTCACCATTACATTTTCATTTGCTTACCTAATCAGAGAGAATGTTAATAGTGAGTTGTGTCAAACCTTCTTCACAGTATGCCAAGCTCACATGCACAATCTGCATTGACAATGAGCTATGTGGCTAGGTCTTGTACTCCCGAAGATAAAGAATTATTCAATTAATCAATACATCTACACAGTGAAGGATCCTGGTGACACTAAAGTTTATGCTGAGAATGATAGTACCATTGAATAGGGATTCATCTTTGCTTCATTTTCAGGCCACTTTCCTAAAACATGCCTTCCCTGTGTGGCACTAAAATAAACATATTGATTTATAAAGAAGATAGGATAAAAGCAGAATGCAAATAAAGGCACCTAGAAAGCCAGAGTACAAAAAATAAATGAAGAGGACACAGCCATTTCATTTAAAAATGCTGAGTGGACTGTTAAGCACACTGTAACTACTTAGGGAGAAATCACACACTGCTCTTATCCAGAGTAGTTCAGAACAGCAGTCCTTCGTGTCCAGCTAGTGTCATTGCTTTACAAGGCACGAGCAGGTTCTCACTTGATCCTAAGAAGTTCTGCAAAGGTATCCATAACATTGCAAACATTAATGGCTGGTAAAGTTATTTGTGAACTTATATTAAAAGTCCTATTTACACACACAGACAGGCTAAGCAGGAGTCTGCTTCCCTGGGGATTTCAACATTCCCTAAAGACTTGCTAAAAGCTAAAAATTCAGAATATCTTTTTGCCTTTTCAAATAGCAAAACCAACTCTTAATTCTACTGTCACCTTTTCACTAATGCATTAACCCCTAAGTCTGATGTCTTGTTTTATGACGTACAATGAAACTTGGGACAAAGATTTCTTTTGATGTAGTTTTTCAATTCAGGGACTTTGTTTCAATAAAGACTTTGTTTTAAAAGAGAAGGGAGGCGGGCGAGTGTACAATAAGGCAAAACACTCACATATCGCTGGGTAATCTGCTTTCTTTCGCTGGGGTCTGCTAAGGGGCAGACACACAGATCAGAGATGGAGACCCCCGCACAGGGTGTAAGTGTGACCAACATAAGGAGAGCCCCCAGACAGCTGTCCAGTGGCAGCTCCAGGCAGTTGGCTTGCTTCAGAGGGAGTGCCGAGATATCCACTTTACACCTAGAAAAGTTTCAGGAATCAGAGAAAGAAAAGTTATTAATTCAGGGCCATTGTGGTACCTCCAAAACACCTGGCTTTGATTTCATCATCCCCCAAAACTCACTCTGTCTGGTCTTAGGTTTATTGAACAGCGAAGGTTGCCCCAATTCATAATGCTCACTCCCAGACTAACACATCTTAAAATTAAGGAGAGGAAGAGGTCCAGAAAATCAAAAAGAAGGCAGCATTGGCAGATGGAAAATGAAAACAGGATTAGGATCTTTGCCAAATAAGGTTTGTAGAAAGATAAGATCAAAAATTAGGGAGAAAAAGTTTGAAAGTTTAAGCCTTATGAGTAAGCATGTTGTATGGCTTCCCTGGGCTGTGTCTTCTATGATTAAAGAGAATAAAGGATCATGGTTCAAAACATGAAGGAAAAAAAAAAAAAAAGATAAGAGAAAGGCAAGTGGGAGAGGGTTAATGGAGAAACCATTTTCTTCCTGATTAATGCTAACTGGCGAATTTTTATCTTAAACAACACGTTAAGGTGTTTTCCTAATAGGCACAGTGCCACAGGGTTTCCCCAGGTGGGTTTCTTTCGGACAAATGAAGCATGAAGTGCTGTTGATTGATCCCATTTCAGCAGCACTGCCAGGAAAGGCTGTACCCATCTGCTATAAATTGCATGTTTTCCGCCTCTTAACAGCCAATGTTCTGGAGATGTTGAAAACCTCAAACACATTTAAATACAGAAGCAAACACCAAAAAAGGGGACTGAGGTGCTAAGCCATTTATTTGCCTTAACACTGACAACTCTGGGTTTGCCTGGACCACACCTGCTCTGTTTACGTATGCAGGTGGGTGAAGTAGGTGGGGTGGAGTAAAGTGGGGTATGGTATTCCCAGACATCATTTTTATTTTTTACATTCTCCTTTACCCTCCATAATTATAGAATAAGATGAATATTCAAGACTTCAGAAAAGGATGGAAGCACTGCTCCCCAGAATGAACAATAAAGATAGATTCTTTTCCTAAGCCGTCAATGGACTTTGTACATTTGCAGTTAATTACAAATAGGTAAACTTACATACTATATAAAGTGATGGCAATTTTGAGCCATATGGCTATGTGGACAAAAACTTCCACTTTAAGAAATTTGAGGGAAAGGTTGCAATCATGTTTCCAAATAAATATGACATTAAAAGACTCTACTAGACTTTATTACAATATTTTAAAATATTTTACATATCAATATGTGTCCATATAATTAATTTAGGTGGGCATTTATTTCCTATTTATTTCCTATTTATCAAAAGTGACCCCAATTACAGGAGGGAGTGGCCATTAGAGTTTTTGCATGTAATAAATTCATCAAATATTTCTATAGGAGACAGATTACAAAAAATGTGTTTTTAAATAACCCTCTGATTTGAATCAAAACAATTTTTCTGTATCAATAGGGAAGCTTTTAAAGTTAAATTGCATTACTATCTATAAAAAATACGTTATTAAATATTTTTATTTCATAAGCATGATGTAAGTGAGAAAGAAATGTCAAGTGCTTTAGACCATTTATTTCTAGAAAAGTAGGTCCCCACAAATTCTTAACCAATATTGCAATAATATTTCTATTCAGGAATAGTTTGCTAAGCATTATTTTACACTGTTACATACACTTTCATTTAATAAAGCTCTTTCTTACGGAAAGGTAAATAATCCAAATTTGTAGAAATTTTCTCTGCTAAGAACACTGTTACAAATTAACAATAGCCTATTGATGGCACATTCTTTTTAATACTATTAATAATGGCAATTTAGTTTTGTCCTTTAAACGTTTGCCTTCTTTGTTGGGATGGTAGTTTTGTTGGTTCTTTGAGCAGCCAAAATTTATTTAGATACAAGTGCTCTGACAGCTAATAATATTTGAGGGTCAGAAATAATATATAAGTAAGCTCTAATAAAATTTTTCTTGGATAATTCAAAATGAACCTGATATTAATTCTAGAGTAATCTAATAACGCTGTGAGCAGTATTACCACAATTGGAATAACTGAAAATTTTCCTAGTGACTGTTTAAGTGCTCAACTTATTGGAACAGAGCAGTTTATCAATTTTAAGTAAAAGCTGAACCACATACCAGATGAAATGCAAATTAAATATTGGGTTTCTTCTCAAAATTACACATTTTCACAAGCTTTTCACTCATTTCTGTCTACTGCGAATGTTTTCCACTTATGTGATTAAAAAAATTAGTCCCTTCAATAGAATGAACACTTTCATGAAAAATAGCCATTTCTAGTTTAGATATTAGAGTCCTATAAGCAACAGGTTGAAGATTTAGGCATCAGCTTAATGGATTCTACATTCTTTGATAACTAACGAGTGAATCCAGCCAAATATTTACTTGTACTTTCTCAGTGACTAGAAGAAACAAGCTAAACTGATATATTAGCATCATGATATTAGCATCATGTCAATCAAAATTAAAACTTAGTCTTTCTGGACATGGGTTATGACCCAGCCTCTTAGAGGTCCTGACCCACCACATGAACCGGTATGTTAAGAATTAATTTAAAGCTACCATAGTAGCCCCCCTTTAACAATGACTTTTTATAAACATTCTGCAACTCTTCTACCCACGTCGTGTCCCCATTTATTTCCACATTCTAGAAGGAGGAGGAAAGATGGGAGACAGAAAAAATGTATTTCATACAAAACCTTCTTCAGGCCTCATGGTTAACCTATTTCAACTCCAGCTTACACTGCTCCAGTTTTGTCATAAAGTTTGAAGGAGAACCAGAAGCTCTGGACATTAGCCAGAGACTGAGAGAATTATTTTCATTAACCCCAACCTAGTAAGAGGTTACTGCATTATCAGAAAAGCAGAATATTTTCTTAACAAAAAGACTTTTTTCCCTTCAAATTGCAAATACTGTTAACCATAATACTCATCCAACCTTCCAAAAGAGAAATATCAAATGACCAAAATGGCTTTTTGCATTTTTTCTTAAGTTCAAAGACTAAAGTCTTTAAGATGTAAACATTCTATAATACATTCATCAAAGACATCTGCAATACGAAAAATCTCCAAAGAAGAAACTAGGCTTCTTCTTTTTCATTATTGTACTGGATTCTTCTCTGAAAAAAATACTAAATAATTTGGTTGGGCTCTTATGTCTTTCTAGTCACTGCTGAAGACCCGTAAATCTTGCTCTTTTCTGTCCTCTCTTTGGCTACATCTTATTGGCAGGGTACAGGATTAGCCTTTCCCTGTTACGGGCAGGTGTGAGGGGCTAATAACTATTTTTGGTTTGTGGGCTATAAGTTTTGTCTAGCAACTACTAAAATCAGCCCTTGTACCATAAAAGCAGTAATAGACAATGTAAACAAAGTTTTTTCCAAAAAAAACTTTATTTACAAAAACAGGCAGCCATATGGATTTCACCTATAAGCCCTGGTTTGCTGACCCCTGAACTACTGAAACACTTGTAATTTAGTGGTGGTGAATTACACGTCTTTTTTTTTTTTTTAATGTAAATTTTTTTAACTCACGACAGCCCAAGAAACTCTGGTCAAAATATCCAATGATCTGTTAGTTAATAAAAATGGATAAAGCAATAAAACCTATAAAAATTGTTCCTTTCTGTCTGATAGAAACAATATGGAAAATACACACTCAGAGCATCTATATAAGGAATTCAATTAATGAGCATGAACCAGTTAGGTCTGCTCCAGTGGCATCACATACGACTTCACACACAAGGGGACTAAATGTCTTTGGACAGTCATTCAGAAGGTGCAACACACCGGGCCCTTAGGTAACCAGGAAATTTTTATTCCAACGTCAGCTTTTTAAAAATGTAATTAATAGGAGCTCCATTGCAACAAGGTTTACATTATAGAAATCAAAATAGCCAAGTCGCTGCTGTGTTAGTGTCTAAGAAGGACCACCCACTGTTCATCTGCAAGAGATGGAATCCAACGGCTTTGTGCCTTCACCCCTGCCCTCTTCTCTAGCCTTATCATGTGACACCATTGATCTTTCCACTCCATCAAGGTTCTCGGAGGGAATGTGCTCTCTCCCCTCTCCAGGCCTTTGCCTATGTTATGCTGTCTTCCTGGAAAGCTCTTCTTTCTGTCTCCTTGTTAACTGCCACTATTCCTACAAGTCTCAGCTTAGACCACTGTTCTTCAAGGAAGCCTCCTCTTTCATTCTAAGCCCAAATTGGCATCCATGATGCCAGGACCTGCAGTCCTCATTCCACCTACTGCCACTGCCTGCTTACTTGTAGTAGCCCAAGGACAGCAGCCTTTTCTGTATCACTGTCCACTGAATCCTCAAGTATTTTGCCTTCTGCCCAACATACGATGTGCTCTGGATTTGAATAAATTGAATGCACGAAAGAATGAATGTCAGCACTGTCACAAAACTCATGAAGTCAAAAACTCCAAATTACAGTGTTTTTTTGTGAAATAACTAAATCTTCTGCAGCCTCCGTTTCTTCCCCTATGTAGGAAAGGAATTGAAATAAATGTATTTACTAGGTACCTCTCAGATTTAAAATGCCGTTGTTCTACTCACCTGAAGAAAAGAGACTAAATTACTTTTTTTTCGCTTTCCTACAATAGGCATATATTAAAGCCACCCTCTCTAACCCACAGGCAGTTAATGTGCTGATTTAGCATTGTTTCTGACCTCCCATTCTTGTCTTTCTCCATTAATCCCACAGCATTTTAATGTTTTAATTCAACACATAATTTTACCATATCAGTCAGACAAACCTGCTCAAGTTTTACTTGCCATGATAGCTTTTAACCTCTTATTCATTACCATAATTCTATGTTTTATATTACAGACTGGTCAGCTTTTAACTTAAAGGCAAGGGGCAAAAAAGAGTGCTAGAGTTTTAAAAGCTGTAAATCTCAGCGGCTAAGGAAGCCAGGGAACAGGAGGAAAATGGTGAATGTGTCAAGCCTGGCTGTAAAAGCAGATCAACGACATGGGGTGCAATTTGTCCAGAGAAATACTCCAGCCCAGATTTTTCACTGCCTCAGAGCCACTAATAAACTGGTAGAATGTCAGAGCCGCTTATCCAGCACCATCTGGGACTGAGGAGGGACTCTGAGGCAGGGTAGTCCGAATTGGCTTGTGGGTTCCCATTCTCAACCTTTCCAAACTAAATTAAGTCTAGAAAATTCTATAATGAGCTAATCTGTAGAATCCCCTTGAAATATAAAATATACTTTAAGAAATTGGTATGATTACTTTGAAATGGCTCAAAATGGAATAATCTATATTACTCTATATTCATACTCTTGACATTTTGTTTAAAAGTTGGAGCCAGTTAAACTCAGCTTTATGTCTTACTCTCCCCTAAAAGCTCACTGTTTCTATCTAAGATCAGATGCTTTTTTGCTGGTTTTGCCCGTGAACAAACACTGGAGTTGGCAGGCAACACAGTTTCAGGGGATGATGGCTCTTACCTCAGCACCTTCATCTCACCAACCCCAGTGTTTTTAGGAGTTACTTGTGGCTCAGGCGGAACCTGAAGGTAGGTGGGTTATGGAAAAAGGGGAAGTCAGCAAGTTCCACATGACTCAGGAGAGCCTGGAGGAGGGGCCTAATGGGCAGGTCCACATTGTAACCATCACCAAGCTAACAACCTACCCATGCCATTGTGATTTCTCTACACATAAGCAACCACTACCCCAGCCTTGTCATACATGGTTACAAAACTTCAGTATTGTTCAGGCTGACCTACACTGCCCAACCCTTCCATCAATGGATGTCCCTCCTACCATGTCCTTGATGATGGTCACTGCTCACTTTTACCAAAAAATATCAAAAAATTCTATGCTGTTTTGGAGGAAAAAAAATACATTGAATTTTACTAGTCATACTTTATTTTCTTAAATTGCATAATTTGAGTTGCCAAGGTGTGAGGACCTACAGTTTACATGCAGAAAAATCTCAAAATTAATAATAAGTAATACCTACCATCAGAGTGCGCAAGGGAATAAACAATGTCAAGTAGATGTTGTTACTGTTAGCCATGATGACCCTGCCAGTTGGCCAGTGAGCCCATTATATAGATACAGAGCCAGACTCCACAGGGAATCCACCATCCAAGTCCCACAGTGAGCAGACAAAGTGATGATCAGCAAGCTCAGGATGTGTGACCCCAGAGCTAATGTTCCTTCCCTCCCACTGAACTGCCTACACAGCTTCCCTGAAGAGAATTTTCCCAGAGTCCATCTAGATTTTTAATTGTAATGTTCAGTTATGAATATCAAGGTTTTATCCAAAACAAAGCATGAGACAGGCTGTGGAGAGGAGACAGTTAAGATACATTTGCACAGCAGAGAGCCTCCTGATGCAAAAAGGTTTTTCCCAACAGTTGGAAAATAAAATAGCTGGGTCTTAGAATGAAGATCACAAAGAAAAGCAAATATGTTAAAAAAAAAAAAAAAAAAACCTTGAAATATTTAAACAATAGCCAGGAAGAAGGAACCATAAGTAGCATGTCAGTGATGTACATATGCTAGCACAATCTTTCAGTCTGAGAAGCAGTCGATATTTTATCATAGATTTCCCCCACCTGCAAGTTCGCTGCAGGGTAAAGCAGTAGCACCAGCTCCCAAGAGATACTTTTGTTATCTTTTGTACTACAGGAGAGGAAAAAGGAAAAGGATACCAAAAAAAAAAAAAAAAATTATTTAAAATTCATGAAGAGGAAGAACAGAATGACCACCAAGACAGGTATATGTCTCAGTTACAAACAGGAAATAGCTAAAATAATAAATGAACACCCAAATGACAAAACATGGATTACAAGGGACATCTTAAATTACTTTTATTGTCTCTGTGAGCAACCCAACACTCATTTGGAAAAGCATTTCCTATTATGTGAAGGAAGCATGACAGTACAATGACTTGTGAAATGCAGCGGCATTATTCTTTGCACCTACTAAAACAACATGCTGGCCATTCATCACAGAAGGACCCTGTTCCCGCTGTTCAGATAACACTTTGGGACACAGAGTTCTCTACATTTGTGTAAGTGATCTTTGCTCTTTGGGCTAGCACAAAATTCCGAATCCTACTACCATCCGTATTGTCAGGGTCCTGGTATATCAGAGCAGTGACAACATCAGAGATACTGAGAAGTACCTGAGCCTGAGCTATCTCAGTTACCCTGTGTGAGTGGAGAAGAGAGAGACAAGGTCACAGAAGTCATCCGACAGGCCATGTCTGTAAAAGACTGGACCACAGGAAGTGGGTTTGCTCCTAAATGCAAACCTGGCTGGGAGATGGCCATGGAAGAAATGATTGCATTCTAAAAGATAAGCATAGAATTGGGGATGTGCAGATGGTGCCAAAAAAAAAACAAAAAGGTAGCTTTAAAACAATTATTCTCAAAAGAAAATACTGCAGATTTGTCTGTGGTTTTTTTTTTACTCTTATGCTTAGTTCTGTATACGTGTGAGTGCCATTATTTTGAAACCTAAGTGCATTAAAATATTGATGGGAAAAAAAAAAAAAAAGTAATGCAACCAGAGATGTGGAGGGTGAGGTCAGAAGACTTAAGTGGGCGCAGTGCTGGTCCTCTAGGGGTGTTTGCATACATGTTATGGAACAAAGGGGTGCTGGGTGTGCATGTGTGTGCATACGTATGCTTGTATGTTTTTCACACAATAATCAAGGGAAGTTACTGGTATCAGGTGAGAGCCAGGTTTGCTAAACATACTGCAACATGCCAGACAGTCCCATGCAACAGGGTACCCATATTGAGAGACACTGGAGCAACATTCCGCAGGTACTGAACCCCTCACACATCTATCTCAGGATTCTGAGGTGGGATGAGCCAATGACAACAAGCAGTCAGACACTGTGCTAAGCATTTGACTGAGAAAAAGCCCTGCACAGGTATTGGGTTAGCTGGGTCTGAACCTGTTTATGCCTCTAAACACCTTACTGATGAAAAAAACATTTCACCTCCTTGGGCCTCCGCATTTCCTTGTTTGTAAAATGAAGGGGTTTTTACTAGATAAATGGTTTTCAATCTTTAGTTTTCAGCAACAAAACCCTTTCTTCAAATGGAATCCCAATATAGAGCACAGGCAAAAGCTGAGATGCTCTGGCCACAGAGGAGAGATGCAAGGAGGCCCTCCCATTCCTCAAGGGGTGACCCTAAGGCATCTCCCTGAACCCAAGATCCAGCTTCGAGAAAGACACACCATAGTGGTTGGGATCCCTTTCAACATCTGTGTTCTAAATTTAAGATCTGCGTACAAACAATATGTATACAGAATGAACACAAGGCAAGTGATTTGATGGAGAAAACTACTTGGTCTTTGAAAACACAAAATCCTGACTCTGGAGCTCATGACTAAGTCCAAGGCCAAGTAATTTGTAAACTTCTGAAGCTGCATTTCATCATTTATAGAATTAGCATGATACCAGTAACTCAAAGGGCTTTTCTGAAGCTCAAAGATGATCTGTGCTTCTGCCAGCATCCCTTTTTTGCTTACTGTATGCTGGTTACAGCACCTATGCTGCTTCATTTCATTCTATTTTTCACTACAACCCTAGGAAGAAGCAATAATATTGATATTATTGTTCATTACACATGTGAGGATCTCAATTGAGAGGGTCCAAAAGTAAAGAAATAAAATAAAATAGATTTGGCCTCAAACTCCATTCCTTGGTGTGCTATAAAGTACATCAAGGACAGTGAAATGCTTCCATCATGGGAACACCTAGCCTTAGATCTTTACTAAATTATATAACATTTCACTAGGTAGCAAAACTAAAATTACAGGGTATGTTGGAAATTTATATAAAATGTTTTGAATAGTCTGAGATAGCAGGTTAACTTTCTTTAGATAATTCCTTACACACATTATTTTAATCAATACTGAATGACATTTCCCAATTAAACAAACAAAAATGAAAAGCAATCTTTCCCCCAGTTAGGACTGGCCATCCAGCTCACTGCTGGCACTCTGGGGTGAGGGATGCAAGGTAGTGCCCTCAGCCCTAACACATAGAGATCACCTGTCAGAACCAGCCCCATGCAGAAACATGCTCCCGCCACTGGAAAGCAGAGGGGACTCACGTGCCCAGACGCTCCTCATGCTTTTTGCTGTCCTTTCCCCACACTTCAATGTCCAAAATGCCCATCCTGTCAGAGAAGTAGTGAAAGTCAAACTGTTCCTGCCACTGCGGATTTGCACTCTTACACAGTGTCTAGAAAACATGCAGTTATAATATTTATTTTCTTAAAATGTCATTCATTGCTACAGAAGCTACACATTAATTTCATCATTAAACTGCAGGGAGTCAAGATGATGGATCTCACCCCTTATAAAGGAAAACTTCCCTTTTTAGAATGAACGAAAGGGACTTGGTGGGTTCAAGAATTGGCAAAACATTACTACTCTCTTAGCTGCCCCCCGGATCCAATAATTTATCCACCAAGTTACAAAGAATACTGTTACCTCACAAGAAACCATAAATTATGTATACACACACATACACAGTGGACATATATCAAAATAGACACCTTCCAATTGTTTCTCTTATAGGAGATCATACTAATTGCTCAATTGAATGCAAGTAACAGTTTTGTTGGCATATCCATTCTATGCTAGCTTACCAACTATGTACATTAACAGTTTGGGGTCTTAAGTAACATCTGTCAGATGCATTAAATGAGAAACCCATGATTTATATATTGCCACCTATTTTGAAATCCAAAGTTAGTGAATCCAGTCACTAGGATTGGAGGAAGACTAGGAAATTCCACTGCAGCCAAACCTAAAAATTCACAAGAGTGACATGAAAACTCCGCAAGTGTTTCTGTGTTCTTCAAAAGTGATTCAAACTGCTTCTATGTTTGGTTCATTGGCAGGATTTTTGTTTTGTTTCCTTTACATAGAGATTAAATTTGTGAATACAAAGTAAGCAAGAATGTTGGTCCCAGAGTATTAGGCTCTAGGGGTGCAGTGTCATGTATTAAATCCCGGTACCAACTATTCTTGCATAAGAAAAACATAGAGAACTCAGACCTCGGCTGTAGCCCATGTCATGTAAAATTATTTCAGTTGTTTTTCACATCAGGCTTAATATACTGGATCACAAAATTTAGAAACCAGAGAGAGAGAAAAATAAAAAGGAAAACCCTGTTAGACCACAAATTAAATGCAGTATTCCCCAAGGGTGAATGTAGCAGATACTGAACTAATTCTACACTTCACCTTAGTCCAAAGGGCTAAGTGTGCTTAGTGATGAATAATTTTTCCATAAATCCTTAGCCCGATCCTGGCAAGCTAAAGGAATCTTAGTAGAGAGATATGGTTATTCTGGATACCCTCACTGTGAGGCAAAGCCTGAAATTACCTGGTTAAAATAATTATCTGCATACTTCTGTCTTAACGCGCCCTCAACTTTTACATTTTTTATAAACTATTCTTCAACATGAGCCTCAATTCTCTACTTTGTGCTAGAGTAAATGACATCTAATATTTGATTCTGTACTGAAAACTGTGCAGTGTGCACAACCTCTTGCCTCCCTAAATCATTTTCCAACTTGTCTATATCTGCCATGTCCTCGATGCTAGAAATATCCTCGGTTATATTTTCAAAAGTGTCCACTGATTTTTTTTCCTATGTGACTGTTGGCAAGTGATGTAACTTTCAAGTACCCCAGAGCTCCTTCAATCCATAAAACATAGGAAATATTCCTGTCTGACAGTTATGTAAAACTAATTAATTATCATGGTTTAGGGACTATAGTTTTTGAAATAAAATCCACACCAAATTACTAAGATTAAAAATTAAATGGAATTTGGATCAGCAGAATAAGATGAATTACTTTTAAAGACAGCTAAAAATGCCATTGTGGTTGTTTAAAATAAATCACTTTTCATACTTTGGATAGTTTATTATTTTTAATCACAGCAAAAAACAGCAGCACTAGATACTATTTTTGGTGTGAAGACTAGCAAGCAAGAGAAAGCAAATATTTTTAATTATCTCACATTTTTAACCCAAATATCATGTATTATGCTATTCTTTTTTTGTAGCATTTTGAAAACTCTTACTTATCCTTTTCCCGCATTCTATGAAACATAATTTTCTTATTTTCAAAATGAAAATAAGTCACACATTCAAATCTATGATTTAATAAGCTTTCTCTAGCGCTGAGTTACTAAATTAAAATAAACTATACTAAGCAATTAATACAATACCCACATTAATTGACTGCATCTATACAATTATTTTGTTTTCTGCTCCTTAATATAGTTAGGAGGGCTAAATATAAATTACTTCTACTTTAGTAAAATTTAAAGTGGGAAACAATTTTTAATTTTTTTTATTTTAAATATATTGTTCTCCTTATGGAAAGATAGAACTTACCTTACTTTTATACCTCTGATGTCCCAGTTTTAACTGGACAAACATCTCTGTCATGCTTCCTCCTGAGACATTCTTCCCTTCCAACAAAGTTATACTTATAATCCCGTTCCAGAGTTGGTTCTTTTTCAAGGACTCAGAGAGCCGCAGGTTGCGTATCAAAGAGGACTAAAGCAAAAAATAAAGATGACATGTAAACTTGCTTCTAATTCCTAAGAGTGACTTTGCTGGTCATAGGAATTCCAACTTTCAATATTTGATTACAAAAAAAAAATTCCTCCCTGCCTGGTGAAAAGTGTTATTTTTCATTGGTTTTGAAAAGCTGCTGTCACAGTTATGTGACTTCCTTCTCAAGCTTTGGAGTTGTAATAATATAGTGAAGGATGAGTATATGCAACACTTTGATTTGGCACTGGCCTGTACTCCCACCCAGATGCGCTCTTTGGAGGGACTCCTTCAACTGGGCCTTTAGCTATTTTAATAGTGTGAGAGGAAGAAAGGCATTCTGGGAAACAGATATTATACAAGAACAAGCATTGCTTTTCAAGGAAGCAAAATATCTCTGGGCATTCAGAAATAATGACTTTGAATTTATCTTTCACATTTGAATCTGTCTCCGCTTCTCTTTATTCCTTGGGGTACTGCCAAAAGCCCCATACCACGTAAGATTCACTACTCCAAATAGAGCCTTCAGTGGCCTAGCTGGCCAAATGAGCTTTGCAGACCTGGGGTGGGGGTGGGAGGGAAGGGAGTATATAAAGTACATCTCACTGCACCTGGGACCCAGGAGGGGTTCAATAACTTAACTCTTATTACCTTTGCTAAATTATATTACAACCACTCATACATACCTTAGAGGAAAAAGGCAAATGTCCTGTTATAAGTTGTAAATAGAGTAGTCACACTTCATTTTTTAATTTCCACTATGTAAATGTTCAAACATACACAAAGGTAAAGAGAAGAGTATAATAAATCTCCATGTACTTAATCACCAGATTCACTGTCTTGCAAATGTTATTTTACCTATACCTTCATTCTTTTCCAGTTGAAATATCTTAAAGCAAAATCCACATTTGTTTTTACGTAACAATCTCGCTATGATCATACTCAATGGCATTAACCATAAGTTGTCTAGCATGTTAAATACACAGTGCATATTCACATTTCCCTGATGGTCTCAACCATGCCTTTTTATGGCTAGTTTGTCTGAATTGGGATCCCCACATGATCCACACGCTGCATTTAGTTAGCAGAGTTCATTTACGTTGTCCGTTCAATAAGTGAAATAACACAAGCATAGGCTTCTTTATTGAAGGAGAAATAAATGGGCTGAAGAATGTAAATGGTGCTGAGCATCATCGCCGAGCAATGAATTTCTAACACTATATATTCATTCCTGTCGTCACTCGCTATATCTTCCAGATCATTTAGACACCAATTTGCTCGGACACCAGTTAGTCACAATTTATCACAACAAATGGTATGTCAGTACCATAGTCATTATAGACCAGCTTACCTCATCGAACCCAGGCCACTCCAAGACTCTTAATAAATGACGCAACAATGCCACACTAGGTATTTTGACCATTTATGGCAACCTTAAACAAAATACATTTAAGAAAACACATATTCCCAAACTTCATATCTGTATTAGTTCATTTTCATGCCACTATAAAAAACTGCCTGGTCAGTAATTTATAAAGGAAAGAGGTTTAATTGACTCAGTGCAGCGTGGCTAGGGAGGCCTCAGGAAACTTAATCACAGTGGTAGGTGAAGGGGAAGCAAGGCACCTTCTTCACAAGGTGGCAGGAAGGAGAAGTACCAAGTGAAGTGGAAAGAGTCGCTTATAAAGCCATCAGATCTCATGAGAACACACTATCATGAGAACAGCATTGGGAAACCACCCCCATAATTCAGTTACTTCCACCTGGTCTTTCCCTTGACAAGTGGGGATTACGGGGATTACAATTCAAGATGAGATTTGGGTAGGGACACAAAGTCTAACCATATAAATATCCATGTGACTTTTCTCTCAAAACATACACACACACACACACACACACACACACACACACACACACACACAGGTTTTGCAGGTGGTGAGATAGAACAGAAGGGGCAAATGAGGAAATAATTTTGAAAAGAAAGAAATATCCTCTTCTCTGGTGAACAGGAGTAATTCCTTCTTACTTCATATATATATACACACACATATATATGGGAATATATGTATAGGAATATTTTAACTATTTCATAAACCTTTATTATTGAATATGTTCCATCCAGAATAATATATGATCATTATTGTTATTATTTATAAAAATAATATATTCCAGATATAACATACTCAATAAAAGTTTATGAAACAGTTAAAATTAGGTAATTTTTGTATTGTTCATAAACACACACCATCACAACATATAAATAGATATATCTGCATATATGCACATATATCTATAGATATTGATATACTTAATACATTTTCTAGCTTATTAGATATATGGGCTAAAAACTTCTACCTTTAAAACAAAAATGAGATTTTGATTCATATATCCTGCTGCAATTCCTCCTTTTGCTTTTTTTCTTCTTAAAGTTTGATTTGCCAACCAACAAGCTAAAGCATGACCTGTCCCACGGCCATGCTTCAAAGTTCCGACAGATATATTCCTCCCTAAACACTGCAACTATTTCAAAATCCTTTTTATAAAAAAGGGAGTAATGTCCACAAAGGATCAAAGGGCATCCTACAGTCTGGCAATTGCTTAAGAAAAATGGCAGCACTTCCATGAAATATGCCCTAAAATAATTTTGCGGCTTGGTATGTCCTAATTTCAAATTGGATGTTTATCTTGGAAAGGCTTCTATCTAACTTGTCCATAAAACAGCTCCACTTAGCTCTATGAGCTCTGTGAAAATGGAATCCAAAGCTGGTTATTAAGGGGGCCTAGAGATCGGTTCCATATGGCGGAACAGCATGGGAGGGCAAGGCTGAGGACTGTATCAGGCGCGACTTGGCTGGAGCTCCTGATCTATCCACGGACACTCGTTGCATTACACCATAACATCTGGATTATTGCTTGTAATGTCCCTGGGAAATATCCACTTTCCATCAAAGCTTTTATCTATCTCAGTCGGACTTTGAACATTTTAGTATTTAACGCAGTCATGTTTGATCTGATGGACTTGCTCTCTGCTGTCCAAAATTTTTTTCTCCCCCCTCTTAAAGGGAGGGCAGGAGAAGTATTTATTGCAGAGTTCACAGATAGAAAAGAACACAAGACCTTTATTCTACTTATTACACCCCAAATATTTCTGCAAACCGCTATAAGGTTATTTCTCAAATAAAGTTTCATCTGTGATCCACACATTCTGGAGGAGGTGTGTGTACTTTAAAGAAGTCTCTTAATTACTTTAACGTTTCTCTTCCATACTTGATAGGTTTGATGAGGCCTCAGACCAGGGAGTCTGGGGTCTGGGGTAGGGCCTGGGCTATCTAATGTGTGCTTCCTTGCAGAGCTGGGCTCGCAAAAGTCTTTTGTGCTCTTCAAACACCCCTTTTTCCCCCACAATAAATCAACTCATCTGCACTCACTCAGCTGAATAGCTTAGGTTTTCATGCCTGTGCCCGAGTCTATACGTGAAATTTGTCATCTTAATGCAGCCTGGAATGTGAAAGGAGAGGAGGAAATGACCCATCACAGGGGAAACCCACCCCACCTGAACTGAAACAGACACCAAGAGATAGTGAAAAGTTTCAGGGCCCTGACCCTAATTTCTCAGCAGATATAATGGATACAATACAGTACATCAGGGTTTTGTTATTTTTCTCCTTCCTCCCAAAGGATCAGACCTTTCGCTATTCCTATGTTGATTCATTCATCTGCTCTCCCTTTCTCAGCCCCCACCTCACAGAATCCCCACCCATTCTTCTAAAACAGAAAAGTGACTTCCATCTGAGGCACACTGGCTAGTTATTAATAGTGAAAACAAGGTGTGCTGTGCCACTTAGAAACATATTAACTTCTGTAAAAGAGTTTTGAACACACTAATATACTCCTTCATGACCATCGCAAGGCAGGAAGGGGAGAAACTTTGGAGTGAGACTAAAATTGTACCCAGTGGATTCAAACAGGTAGGGAATCCTCATAAGTTTCTGATCTAGGAACAAACTCTAAAAACAGTGAATGTACTGTCATTGCTGGAATACACAAAATGGACTACAGTTTGGTGGCATGCATTATTTGATGTTTTGGGCCTGGGGACAGGCTGGGGAGATAGTGATGTGAATTCCAGTATCCCAAAAGGGGAAACTTTGGCACGGCTGCAAAGGAAACTGAGGGAGGATGGACAGGTCAGCTTGGTGCCTCTTATCTGTCCCAGGCCAGGAAGAGTGGCAGAGAGGTCAGGAGGAAAGAAATCCTAAAAGGAGGGCATGAAGTCAGGAACTGGAGCCACAGCCTGTGGCCATCAAAAGCAAGATTACATTCAACTAGGTGGCACTCCAGAACTGACCATGCCAAGTAATACCCCAAAATACTCTCTTGCACATAACAAAAAACCAATGAATCAATCAATAAAGAGGACAGTAAGAAAAGGCACTGGCCAGAGCATACCTGCCAGGTGTCAAATAATGTACTGGCACTCCATACATAGTCTCACAGACAGAAGTATAAACATATCAGTGTTCCCATGGTGCCAATAAATCCCATTTTGACTCTCATTAATTGTTTTTCCTAAGTCATTATGGGAAAGTAAGTAGCCAATGGAAACAAATGCATTTAAAAAAATCAACTTCGTAAGAAAAATGAGTAAAGTCAGATTCCAACTATGTTGACCACTGCTTTGAAAACTAGAGAGAAAACATTGAGCCTATAAAATGTTTCACTGAAATATTCCTTTCAAGCTTTTTCAACATGTAAAACTACTGTTCCTTGTCAACAGCTTTTATTGCATGACATGAGAAGATCCATACATCCATGGAACAGGCTCCCAGGGAAAATTCTTCTCTGCAGCTCCTCTCTATCATCTGAAGAGGATACTGGACCCATAAATTGTCCTACAACTATACAGAAATCCTTGCATGAGAATATAAAGAAAACCTTTTAAATTTCCCACATGTAAAAAGTCCACAGAAGTTGCAATTTATACTTGTAGATAAAAATGGTATCAGTTCCAGAGACATAAATAATCTGTGCACAATATATTAGCTATAAAAGCTTTGCATTAAATTTAATATTTTTAAATTATAAGATAAAATTGTCACTCAATTTTTGTACTTAAAAATAAAAATTGGATTAAGAGAAGATTTTAAAAAATAGTTAAAGACTGCACATACCCAATGACTCTCAGATTTTAGGACCAGGGAAATGCTTCTAATGCATTTCCTACTACTAAAAAAAAAAAAAAAAAAAAAAGGAGACAAAACAACACAACAACAAAGGCCATGTGATTCAACAAGAAACAAGATTTTCTTTTTTCCCTGACCTG